GTATGTCAGTCCCTTTTAGTTCTTTTTTGTGACGCATTACGAGGTCCTTGTCTGCCCGGAACTTGAAGCGAACTATCATCTTCCTTGGTCCAGTTTGCCCAGGTCTCAACCTACCAGGTACTCTATGTGCCACCTCAATCATAGAACGCTGAATGGGAACATTGTTCTCATTCAGGTTGGAAACAACTAGATCAGCACATTGTGCGGCGGTTTCCTCAGCCCCCTGTGCTTCAGGCAATCCAAAGATATTTACATTATTTTTACGTGGATTAGCTTGTGGATCCGCCACTTTCCTTTACAATACAAAGGGGCTTGGTTAAGCAAGGGGAATTTTTTTTTGGGGGGGGGGGCGGTTTGCGGGGGGGGGGGGGGGGGGGGGTTCGAGCCCCCCCCCCCCCTTACAAAAAGCTGGCTACGGGCATGTTGTACTCATATTTCTTTAAAACTGTCATCGCTGACTTTTATTCACATTCGTACCTAATTGGTATAGGTTGCTAAATGACATTAATAGGGAGTAATAAGCTTGCATATAAATCGAAACGCCAACCTGTACCTATGACTAATCGCCCATACAAATGCATCGCTTAAATATTTTCCGTTCACGTTATTGTGAAAAACAATGCAAGCTTAAACTCCCTATTGTTTGTACCCAGGGTTTGTTCATATCGATGTGCGTATGATTCATTACCTGTATTTACGTACGATGTGTTCTCATTGTTTTAGATTTTTGCATTAGTATTAACAGTTCTGTGATACCAACTATAAATAAGAAAGATTATAATTGTATTATTTATTCACTCTTGTTTGGTACTCTATGGTTTATCCATCATTGTAAAATACGAGGGTTGTCCCACGAGTAATGCACTATATGCTCTAACATTATCAATACTTGTTATTTTTCCATGAAAATTTCAGTGTATATTCCTTAGAGATATTTTGATAATTTATTTTATTTTGTTTTCAATTTTTTCTGTTGTTCTTAGACTAGGAATTGGCTAGAGACTCGAGTTAGCTGTTTTTTTTGTTTTTTTTTATTTATGAATTTATTTCAATGGCTGTGCCATACTGGCATTAATAGCCATGTCTTTATATATATTGAAATGACATATGATATAAATAATATAAATAGATCAAAGATACAAAATAAAAACACTTCATGTGTATGTGTGTGACTAAAAAGGGACTGTTCATTAGGCCGTATAGTATTCTATCTTTGATTACTAATGGTTTCGAGGTGAGATGCGAATAGTTTTATCAATTCTATGTTTTTTGCTTTGCTCAACATGTCGCAACCATAGAGCAGGGTATGTATTTTTTCAAGTTTCGAGTTAGCTGTTCCACACTATCAAAGAAAAATAGTAAGTTCCTTTTGATTCTTTGGTTGATCCTTATAAGATTGGTTTTAGCATGGGCTTTCAATAAGAGTTGACTTATTTATAAGCTTAACTGATTGGTTTCAGCATGGGCTTTCAGAGTTTAGTTGAAAGCCCATGGTTTCAGAACTTAAAATGACATGAAAACCATAATGTTATTGGTCAATGCCTGTTTAATAGGTTAATGACATGACATGTTCTATCTGATTTAATTATTTCTGCTATCAGCGGGGCCATAAACACGGGTTGTATCCAAAGCCCCGTTATAATTGAGAGATCGCGAGCAAGTTCCCGCTGAAATCACGAGCAAAGTCCTTTTTATCTATAGCTAATTCATCTGGAAATATGGACCAAAAAGGTAAGAATACGCATTACTGTTCTTTGATACTTTAGGTATACTTTCAGAACAGGTATATCTTCACAAACAATGACATGAAAGATAACTATTTTTACTGGCATGGAAGAAACGGGCGTCAATATGCACGTTTGCATAATTTACTGTTAACATATTACTTTTATGGTTAAAATAGAGACAAGAACTACGATATACATACCTCATTATGAATATTGGACCAACATTGTATGTATTGATCAGTTTGTTTTCAAAAACATCCACTGTGGGGTGAAATACATCATTGAAGGTGTGCCAGTGGCCCCGCTGAAATTATGAGGAAGCCCCGCTGAAAACATGAGGAGGTCCCGCTGAAAACAGGAGCAGATATCACGAGTACCCGCTTCGATCACGAGGAAAGCTCATTACTATTACATAAAATATTGAGGTTCTTCAAATAAACGTACACGAAAGACCAAGTTAAGTACTTCTAATAATTACTGTATATATACTGTTTCACTCTAGGGCCAGGTTTCTAATGTTTCCATTCCAACTTCAAGCCACCAGAGATTTCGTCAAACATTTTATAGAGTTGCATCCATATCAAAATGTATAGGAGAAAGGTGGATATCATTTCAAGAATGAACTTAATTGAAGCCTGAGGTTCAGGGTAATGAGTCTTGTATTAAACAAAGACACCCCAAGTTGCAAGAAGATGAAATTTAGAGAGAAAGGAGAACCACAAAGTCTCCATGATAATTCAGGTTCTACTTTTATAATTTAACAATAACATTTAAGAATAACATTCAAGTTTTTGTTTTTAAATATTTATTAAAATAATGATGATTTGTATTCCATACCTGATAATTTTCAGGGACATATCAACCGGGAATATATTCCATATCCGGGCAAATATTTTTCGTATGTCCCGCTCAAACGAGGATCCGGGACATATAAATCTATGTCCTGCATAAGCCATTTTCCTGGACATATTGTTACGCGGTAAACACGATTCAAATATATGTCATATTCCACAATGAATATGGCATATTCACTTGTGGAGTATGATAGATTCACCTGCGGTATATGGCATACTCACCTGCGGTGTAAGGCATATTCTGCAAGTGAGTATGACATATTCTGCGAGCATTGGGTATTTACTGAAATCAATGTATCACATATTCAATACGGAATATGCCATACTCACCTGCGGAATACGCCATATACCACAGCTGAATATGGCATATACACCCGTATCACAAATACCACGCAACCATGAATATATGCCATATTCCGCGTAACACATACGATGTTACGCGGAGTATGGCATACATTCATGGTTGCGTGGTATTTGTGATACGGGTATACAGTATATGCCATACTCACCTGCAGTTTATGGCATATTCCGCAGGTGAGTATGCAATATTCCGCCGTGAATATGCGATACATTGATTTCAGTGAATACCTGATAATCACCTGCAGAATATGTCATACTCACTTGCCGAATATGTCATATACCGCAGGTGAAAATGACACAATGATTACCCGTTTGTTCAATCAATGCAATTGACAATTGCGTACTTCTGTATCGTGTTCTCATTGCTTAGTGGGTATGCAATATACTGCAGCTGAATCTGTCATACACCGCAAGTGAATATGCCATATTTATTGCAGAATATGACACATATTTGCATCATGTTTTCCGCGTAACACGTGCGTTTAACATAACCTACGATTAATTGTTAAAGGGGCATCTTCTTTGACAAACCTATTTTCTTATAATATATGGATAAACTATAAATTTCAGCATTAAGAAGTGAAAATTCAGTTCAAAGCTTCTATAAAGGGAGTCCCACTTATAGATTTTTAAGATTCACCACGTTTCAAGAGGAATATCAGCTGAAAAAATGTACATCCAGAGGGTTTCTTTCAAGATAACAAAAATATATGTAAGTCTTGAATGAAATATCCAAACTTAAATATATTTTGACGCTGATCCATGTTCGTTGTACTAATTGTTGCACCTTTAATGATGAAATTATTTGATTATTATTATTTCGGACTCATAATCGGATGATGTACTCCTTTGTTACTTACATCTAGCAGTTGATCCATAAATTGCCTTTTCAAACGTGTGCGCCATTTGTGCTGAATCCTCTAAGGTAGTAATATACTGAACTACAGTATAATGTTACTTCAGTGAAATATAAATATATATTGCATACAAAGAAGAACGAGTTATTTGAAACTTGTCAAAAGTCGTGGAATGGATTTAAATCTTCTCTTGGTAAATTTCTCGATGGAGTCAGGTCGAAATACATTAAGTGAAATGGTTTTATTGGAATCATGCTTGTAGCCAGCTTTTGGTAAGGGGGGGGGGTTGCTCGAACCGATAATAACAATGACAATGATATATGATATATATGTGCTCTGTAGAGTATCAATAATTAATATATTTATTACGTTGGCTACAGTCGTGGCAGATTTGCAAAGTCAAATCGGTCTTCACTCCATTTTAGAGAGCCACTTGCTCCTGATTTCAGCGGGACCTCCTCATGTTTTCAGCGGGGCCTCCTCATGTTTTCAGCGGGATCTTTAGTTTATTGCTCATGGTAGAAGCGGGGCCTCAAGGGATATGCTAAAATTGAAATATATAATTTTTTGTGAAACTTTAGGAAGTGAAACTCACAATACCTTCATTTCATATTACTATGACCATTTCAACTGAAGGACAATGACCTTCTTCAGCTATAAAATATAGAAATATATAGATAAAGATTCAAGATGATACATTCTCTCTCCAATTATCGAATAACAAAACTCAGAACATCAGCTCGTGATCCTTTTTTGCAGAAGTTGCTTTTTAGTATCAATACCATGTAATAATTGAGTAAAATTAAATGAAAACGCTTTTTATAACATACAATTTAAGTAAACAAAAGATAAACCCTTCTTTTCTTTTAATTGCTCGCGATTTCAGCGGGTATTTGCTCGCGACTTCTAAATCATAGCGGGGCTTTAGATACTTACTACCCGTGATAAAACACATTCATTAGCAAATGCCAATTCCCCGGGTGCCAATTAGGCTAGACAAATTACATAGGCCTAAATGAGTCAGTTATGTCATAGCCTAATACATAATTGTCAATTAAAATGTCATTGGATATGATATTGTATTACTCCGCAGATTAATGCTACGAAACAAAACGTCATTGTATGAAATATGTCAGATCCAGGATCAGATCAAAATGATCGGTCACACGAAAACAGAAAGTGAAACTACGGATCTAAACCGGAAATCAAATGTTTTTGATTTATTTCTCTCTTGGTCGGGTAAGAAAATTAGATTTATAGTATTGTTAATTGCCCAATTTAATATTTCATCTTATAATACTGTGATATAGTGTGCCTTACTTGCGATAGTTTTTATTTTTGCGGTGTCCAGCCTGTGATTACTCGTTGATATGAGGAATAAAGGCAAGTTTACTATATTATCGCCCACTACTGTAAAATTAAAAATTTTTGGAACTAATTTACTTTGAATCTAAAAAATAAGCAATCAAAGGACCCAGGCCTGTCAACTGTCCCGCAATTTGCGTATTTGTCACGCATTTGCTGAAGAATTTGAAGTCACGCCAGTTATTTTTGCGTGACAGAAAATGTCACGCAAATACGCATTTTACCTGGTAATTGTCAAGCAAAAATATTTCTGTAGAAAAATTTCTAAAAAAGATCGTCTACACAGCAAAAATACGAACGCCGGAAAAAAGACGTACGCATTTCGTTCGGACTTTTCACGCGAATTACGTATATGTCACGCATTCCGTTCGAAATTTTTCGTACCTACCCCCCCCCCTGTTGACGGATGTTTGAAACACGAGCGTAGCGAGCGCGAAAAATTTGAGGTGTTCAAAATTTGGCAAGATGTCCTAAAATTTAAACCAAGGTGTTCAAAATTTGGATCAAGGTGTTCAGATTTGGACCAAGGTGTCCACATTTTGAGGGGAGGTGTTCAACATTTCCAAGTCACTCATGTTAGGTGTTCCCAAGTTGACAGGCCTGAGGCCCATATTGAAACAGTATACGTAAAAATAGAAACATTTATACATGTCCTAACTTTTGTATATTTTAGTTTGTTTTGTAGTATCATATCTGTGCCCTCTTATATTTTGATGCTTCTCTCACGGACATCTAATACGTTCTTCGAACTGCCCTGGAACTATATCTATACCAGGACTGGCATCCAGATCCAAGTATTTTTTAAGACCGCCGACTCTCGTTGGGCTACATGTATTTATCCCTATTGACTCAGTTGTTCATATAAATTTACGTACCTTAGATGCTTTGTAATCACGACATAGATAGAAAATATTGTTTCCTAAATTGTTCTGAAAAGCGATAATTATTACTAAATGTACTTTGAACAGGTCGACTGACCAAAAAGTCGGACTTCTGGCACAAGGTCACGTGACCAAATAGAATTTGTATAGATAAAATTGATGACGTCACCGCCATCGGTGTAGGTCAGGTCAAAAGTCATCCATCTTGCCATTTGCCTGGGGCGTATTCTTACCAGTCGACAAAAAACGATGAAATCACGTTGAAAATAAAATATACACTTTAAAATTGAGGCTGATTGAATATGACAAGACTCCATTGAATACAGCTGTGCAATTTACAGTCACCAAGATGAGCTAATTTCGGAGAGATTCGGTGAGATTCGGGAATTAAAAAAGGTAAGCCCTTCCGGTTTCCCAACTTCAAGTATTTGAAATCCCAGAATTTCGCCAGAAACATTCTCTCTGACTGTGGCTTCTCTGCCATGTTATTTTCAAAAAATGAAACTCCTTAAATTACAAAAAGCCAAAGCTTTGCTGCACATTATACATAACTATCTGAAATATCAAAAGGTTAGGACTTGTACATATGTTTCCATTTTTTCATATACTGTTGCAATATAATCTAGTGTAACGACCCTTGGGCACATTCGTCGGGGGGAGCTGTAGCGTACCGACCCAGATACTAGACTCAAAAGAGAGTCTGTTTAATTCAGTGCCCCATACGGGAATCGAACCAAGGACCTTCCACTCTCGAGTCAGACACTCTGCCCCTGAGCCATGAAGGCTAGCCACTACAGATGAGACTTAGCAGCGACTTGCTATCGAAGGTTATTACAATAGCATGGGCTTTCAAGACTGTTGAAAGCCCATGAATATAGTCATTTGATTGCTTATTTTTAAAATTCAAAGTAAGTGCAAACACTTAAAATTTTACTGTACATGTAGCTTTTTTATTATTTTGGATATATCATTGTAATCTATTGAGATGGGAATCACAGCCGAATACTTTTTGGGAAAGTACTGAAGCTTCCTGTCTAGTCAGTATGCATGTGCACTGGCCTGCCCCCCCCCCCCCCCACTTGGGTGGGCCAAGAAAAAAATTGGGCCACTTTTGGGTTTTAGGGGCCCAAATTTAGTTTTTTTTCTCTGACCTGAAATTTGGGCCCCCCTTGTTGGTTCCCAGATCTGCCCCTGATGTGTGTCAGCATTACGCTATCATGTTGCATAGAATAATTCAAAGTGAATGATAGTCAAAGACTTAAAACAGGCATCCCTCCCACCAATAGTTTGAAAAATAGTTTTTGATCCCAGTCATCTCATTCTCAGTTTCAACGCCATCATTTCATTTTCTGTTACCTAGTTTATTGCCTATCATTTCACCTATCATTTCAATCATTTGATCAAATACTATGCAATGTAAGTTCATCCGCGGATCAAATCCAACATTTTAATTATCGATCAATTATTCACAAATGCAGGTAATGTCATAAATTTTGAGTTGCCGGCCATAATTTGAGTTGACGGCCCAATAGTATCACTCCAATTGAATGCCATATTTCCAATCTTTACAGATTAAATCAGAAAATGGACGAGGAAGAGAGTTAGAATAGTGTGATTGATCTGTAAGCATGTGGGGTCACATATTATGGAGCTGCAAGTTTCTGCAGAAGACACTTCCTTGCCATACAAATGTAAGTCTCAATACCATGAGTCTCAAATGAATACTGTATACAAGTTTGATTTGATCTTTTTGTTCTAAATTTCTTATTGAAAACTATTAACATCATTATTGTGCCTCATACTGCTACTGAAAACTCATAAAAAGGTAGGGTATATAATTATATAGATTTTTTTTTATTTTACTTGAACTCACATCGAGAACTTTAGTTTTAGACATTATATGTTGATTAAAAATGAAGAACAGTACTGGTTTTTTTTTACTTCTCACCTTAATACTTTATATTTGTTTTCAGATGTCCTCTCTAAGGTTACGGAAATCTAAACTGTTTCCATGTTTTGAGGCCTTATATGTACATTTCCATAGTAACCAGAACTGTACCTATGGCAACCAAAAATATAACTCTGAAATCAATCTCCAATGGCCGGCTGCAAAAATAAGAGAAACATTTAAGGAGTTCTTTCTATCCTACAAAGGTCTGGAGCATGCATATTGTAGGCCAGCCAACGTGTGTACCAATGAAAAGGGGACTTATTTCACCATGGCTGGGATGCAACAGTTTAAAGAAAAATTCCTTGATTTAGAAGCAGTAAGTTAATGGATTAATTGCATAGATGATTTTCATGAATGGTCAATCATGGCTTGAAAGTGGTCACACTTAAGTGATCTTCCCAGCATTAAAGCAAGTGGGCGCCTCACCCACCTGAGATTTTAAGAAGCTGAAAATCCATTTGCACCCACTTGAAAATGAGAAAAACCATGAAAATTCGCCATATTTTGACCAAATTTGGTTTGAATTGTGAGATCGGAATTTTGCACCCACTTGAGATAAAATCCTGGGGAGATCTGACTGCACTTTGGATAATTGCTTGCTTCAATGAATGTATTGTTTTATTGCTATGTCACAACATTGACCAATGCTCCCTGTGTAGCCCTTCACTCCATTGAATTTTTTTTTATTCATAGAATTTATTTTACAAATACATATACGATACATAAACATTGTACACTTGTAGTGGCTTTGCTGAAGGCATTATCAGCCATTCCATTGAATTACTCTGTCGAGCACATTTCTAATCTGCTCTTAAGCTGTTTCCATCAGCCATGGGCATAGCGCTAATTTTCTAAGTTGTACGCCACCAAGGGAACAAGAGTCAAGTGGCGCAAAAATAGCGTTTAGGGGGGTCTGCGGGTTCTTCCCCCAAGAAAAATTTGAAAATTGGTTGTATTTGGAGCGAATTTGCAACCATCTGGTACGCCTGTGTTGGTACGCCTGTGTGTACCCAGCGTACCAGGCGCCATGTCAGCCAAACTATTAAACCAGTGAATTCCTTCATATAGGCATGAAATTATTTGAAATACTTGGTGGCTGTCATCTTGATTCTCAAAATTTCAGTTGCCTCAACTTGACTTGATTTATCTGCTTTTTCTATTTGGTGTCAAACAAAAGAAACTTTCAAATCAAATGAAAGATATCATTTATGATGTTATTAATGCTTGTATAAAACAATCAATTCAACAGGTTCTTTCTACATAAATGTATAAGCTTGAGCGGTGGGGGAAATGAATATCTAGACTCTTCTGATTGGTTTAGATCTTTGATGGTGTTACACGACAGCATAGTATCAAGTATGAAATAGAAATCATGAATATTGATTTTGACAATTCTTTATCTGTCGGTTTTTACTCCAGCACCACAATTGGTAACATATTGTTTTAGTATCCAACTTTTTTATGGATGGTCTTCAGCATTCACCAGTTGTTTTTCTGAGTTTGGTGTCTGCAACAAATGGCAGGTGTTGAAAATTTTCATGTTAATGCCTTGTTATATTCTTAGAATGACAGTCAGTTTAGAGATGTTAGAAGAGCGGTCAACAGTCAGAGATGTATTCGGGTTGGCGGGAAACATAACGATCTAGAGGATGTAGGCAGAGACACCTATCATCACACCTTGTTTGAAATGCTTGGGAATTGGTCCTTTAGAGACTACTGGAAGGTGTGTATTAGAATTTTTTCATTATGTTAATTTGACAAAAAAGTGTTTTTATTTTGGGAATTTGCCATTTTTGTTATATTATCGCCAAGAAGTGGTGACGTATTGAAATACACGTAGCTTCCAGTTTTTTGGGAATCAACATAAGCATTTAGCATCTAACAAATTGTTACAGTTTTGTTACCATTAGCAATAATTTACCAGGGAGTGACATCTGTCTTGTAGATTCACTGCCTTGGTATACATGTAATGGTATTGACAAATGTTCTTTGTGGAAAATGATAGATTCCCAATATTTTTGGAACATGTTATATTTATCATTTTACAAAGTACAATGGTATTGACAAATGTTCTTTGTGGGAAATGATGTACATGTATTCCAAAACTATATCAATAGCAGAAAATACAAAGACTAGAATGAGGCCGATAAGTGTGTCACCTATTGGCGGAATTCAAAATCATATTTCTGCATCGATCACACATGTACAATTATGTCTTGTAATAACTTTACAGGAAGATGCATGTAAGATGGCCTGGGAGTTACTTACTAAAGTGTATGATATACCTCCTGAAAGACTTTACGTCACATACTTCCATGGTGCTGAGTCTTTAAACATTGGCCCTGATCTGGAGACTAGAGACATATGGCTTAATATAGGGTAAGATTTTGCCTACTCTTATGGGCAAGGTGCTGTTAAGTATGATACTGCTAAACAGGCCCGTAGCCAAAAATTTCCAGGGGGGTTCACATTTGACAATTTTGGCTCAAATATGGCTAAAATCACTTGAGAAGTGCTCAAAATTGTGAAAAACTGCATGATTTTGAAAGAATTTCTCACCGAGGGGGGGGGGGAGTTCGCCTGAACCCCGCAAACCCCCCTGGCTATGGGCCTGCTAAATGTAGGCATTGTGACTCAAAGTGAATTACTTGGTGTAGAATTTAGAGACATAAACTTGTATGGGTGAATAAACTATTAATGTATTGTTGATGTTTGAGTTTATTGTCATTAAGGGCTGTATAGAGACCTTTTACAAACAGAAAAGCTGTGTCTTTTATTCTACAGCACTACTTTTTCATATATTTTAGGGTTCCTTCAGAGAGGCTCATTCCATGTGGTGAAAAGGACAATTTCTGGACCATGGGGGACTATGGGCCATGTGGGCCATGTTCTGAGATCCACTATGACCATAAAGGAGGCAGGGATGCTGCCCATCTAGTCAATAAGGACTCTAATGATGTCGTCGAACTATGGAATTTGGTCTTTATGCAGTATAACAGGTAGATATTGAACAATGAAACCTGTAAAGTACCCTTTGCATTCGTTTGACTTCACTTCTTAAAAGAGAGCTTCGTCTTCACTCTTTCAAACTAAAATAACCCTGTGAACTCACCGCGCCAATCAGTGTTCGTCGGCCAAATTTGACCGACGTTCTATATATGGTCAGTCCTTCTGACGTCGTCGTTGAGCCCGGAATTGACCAATGACACGCGCATATTTAATTAGAACGCATTTGGCGTATGTTTCTTCAAGCTCGCTGATTGGTGGAAGAAAGGTCAGCGCGTAGGTCAAAAGTGATTTATTATCCAAACTGTCACCGGTACCCGTCGTGGGGGTGGGGCTACTAAACTGTAATATAGTCTCTACTAGGCAGAGTGTAGTTTAACTAGACTCTGCACGCAGGGTACCTGTAAAGTGGAACACCTCTAGAAGTGGAACACCTCTAGAAGTGGAACACCTCTAGAAGTGGAACACCTCTAGAAGTGGAACACCTCTGTTAGTGGAACAATTTTCAAAGTCCAGAGACCAAATGACTTAATGTTAAATGATTCTCTATACTTGGAACACTTCCCAAGTGATACCAAAGGTTTTCCACTTAGACAAGTTTTACTGTATAAACAAGGAGTAAAGTATATGCATATATGCATACTTTATAAACACTCTAAATTATATAGAAATGCTAGAAATCAAACACTTATTCAAATTTTAGAGAGAATGGCATGATCTTAAGCAAAAACAGATAACAATTTAACTAGCCAATAAAATGTAATTTATTCTAACATTTGTTAAGCTTTTTGCAGCACCGATTAATTTGATGGTTTGGTGATTTGTCTGTTTCTTTTGATAATATGGATTTGGCATTTAGGGTTAATCAACAATGAGGTCAGAATAACTTATTATGTTAGTCTGCAGAAATTCATATGGAACTCTGAATACTAGATCAATAGTATTTTTGGATACAGCATGGATAAATTGTATTTTGTATTTGTGCATGGTAACACTTGATTGCAATTTCCTAATTTTGAAATAACCCTATCAATCTATAAGGTTGTATCTTCTTGAATTCCTTTTATGTAGGGATACAATCATTTTTTGGAACAAGTTTAGCTGTCCACTGACTTGTGTGTGCTACATAAATGTACTTATGTTCTGCAATTTATCCCTCTCAATATGTTAATTCTTGCAGTGTTCGGGCCAGTTGAGTTTTCCCATGTTGAGTCAAATTAAGCCGCAGGCTCCACTCTTGGTGGTGCTCTTCCGTCAATTCCTTTTAGTTTCAACTTTGCAACCATACTCCACCCAAATAGATTATTGCGTTATCTTTTTAATGACAACCAGTAATGTTTCTGATAGTTTGTGATATTTTTAAGAAAATTGTTTATTATCCCCGTATGTGACTGACATTATTTAATAGCAACATATCCATATGAAAACTAATAGTACAATAACGTCATTTCGAAGTGGCACTCGGTCCAATATTTCACCATATTGCCCGCAGAAATGATGTTATTTGTATGATTACCACCGTTAATGCCCTGGGCTGAAATAACAAGAACTGAAAGAAATCTAATTTCCCGGGGAAAATTGCCGGGCGTTAATGCATTATTGGCCTGCCACTATGGCCCGTCACCGTGACGTCACATATTCCTCTCGTCGATATAGTAAAATAAATGCCTTCTAAACTCGTACTAATACCCCTAGAACAGACCCGACAAGGTGGTAATAATTTGAATTTCACACCAGAAGAGTTTTGATTGTTATTATGGGATATACCATGGGCTTTCAATTAGTTGAATATACCCAATATCAAAGAATAGCTACGCTCACAATTTCATCAGTAACTTTCTCACGTTTGAATGGGCTCATACCCGTGTTTATGGGTTTCTACAAAAATAATTGAGACATGAACAGGTATTGCCTGAAAATAGAATTCTAAATTTGCATTAATATTGTATTATATTTCAGGCTTTTCTCTTTGCACATTCATTTTATAATCTCAACTTTCTTATTCTCTCCACCATATCCCTTTATTATCTACAAACCAAATGTTCAACTCAAAACCTGTACTTACATGTATGTAACACTTAACTGTACTAACTCTTACTTTATCTTTTTTTTTTACTATATTATGTTTCAAATTCATTGTACAAGAGAAAAAATCAAACAAGCTACTGTGTGTGGTATTTTCAGTAGGTGGGTAGAGGCATTTGGCAACGGGCTGTTCCTGTTTGACCATTTATTTCAGCAACTGGTGGACATGTACATAGGAGATCACCTCTGCAATTGCCATTCATCACACGTGTCATAGTTCCTTTAATACATCGTCCACACACTTGGCCATCTCTGAACTGTGGGCAGCCACGTCCCGTTGGATCATCTTTGCAAGGCTTTAAAGACAAAAAACCAAAAAAGTATTTTCAGTGGATTAAAAACCTCTCTTAGAGATTTACACTAAAATTTACAATACAATTACAATACAAAATGGTTGTTCAAGCAAGCAAAATGGTTGTTCAAAACAAGCAAAGAAAAGTGAAGAGGCTTATTCTTATTGAAGCCGGTTATAACTTTTGCTTTTATTAGTAGACCTGTCAGGGGCCTCCTATCAATTTTATAGATATTATTATCATTTATTTATTTTTCCCCACACTTTTTCTTCTACTTCCAATTAGGTATCATCTATCTAGTATATGCTCATACTGGCCTGAACTAGGAGCGAAAGCAATTTTTATGTAGGTCAAGGTCAAAATCTATGTCAAATCAAGGTTGTTTTTAAGTTTATCAAAGCTTGACACTACACTTAAATATTTTTGCATCAATTTTCACTGGTGATCCACTCGATTACGCTGGTTACCGGTTTCGGTATTAAGGTTATTAAGGTTCTGAAACGGTTCGTTTCGGTATTCGTTAACAAAATGTTGTTTCATACATTGTAGGCAGAATTCCCACGACTTTTTTTATCACAAACGTGTATCAGTATCATATGTTTAAGAAAATGTACACATTTGCAAACAAATAGTTCAGAAGACAACAGAATCGTCGATTTAATTCCTCACTTAATATTTTTAAAAACAGTTAAGATCAGCGCTTTTAACCCAAAGACAGTGAATAAGAAAAAAGGAGGTTCTTTCACATTTCATTTTAAACTTTTTGCTTTAACTTCAAAATTAATAGAATAATTTTGTTGATATTTTAAATGTACATGAATGTAAGAATGAAGATTAATATTAGCAATACATGTACATCTATGTTGAGACATGCTTTCTTATTAGAGACAATTAAATCTATTTCTTCAATAATTCGGGATTAGGCTTAATTCTTACCTTAGTTTGATACTCTGAGTTATAACCATCATCTGCCATGACACAGAGCACTGAAACAGCAATTATAAGTAGTGTAAAACCCATTCTCCCAATCTTCAAGGCTTCTTGAGTAATGGCATCAAATTGATTGTCAGCTATTTATAAGACAATTAACCCTTGAGGATATTTCAAACTCCTATAAGTTGTATTTCACTTTTATTACCCCTGTTTGAGTCATTACCCCACATTAACCTGATTTCCAAGGCTAAAAAACAAATATTGGTGTCCATATATTGGTAATATGAAAAGTGCACCACTAAAACTGATAAATATTCAAGTTTAAGGGAACTTTGTAATACCCTGCCATGTTATTTTCCCGAATCAGCCACCTGGTGGTGAAACTGGTAACTACCTACTCGCATCTGAGTAATTCTTTGGAAACTTTACTTGAATGGGATTTGGATATTTGGGAAAATCAAACAAATTAATTAGATATGACACATAGACAAACTATTTTGACTGATTGACAATGCAATCACCTGTTAGCTGGCAGAAACGACTATGAAGGTCTCATAACAGAGCTCCAGTATTGTATTTTTTGACGTGCTATTTTCAATTTCTTAGTACTCGTTTTACGTGAACTTGATCTTTTATATATTTTTCCAACTCGCAAATGATATTCTTTCTTAGGCTACTTTCATTTTCAGTGAATTTGGTTTATCAAATTGCTGAAATAATCTATCTCACGAAGGATGAACCCCATATCCAAACCGACCGTACATAACTGCTTTATCCTATACCAAGTAGAGTTTTCAGGGGCGTATGGCCATTTCAATAGTACAAGGTGTAAAAATAAACAAATCATTCATATGCAAAGTCATTTTATTGCATTTCCACTACTTACCGGAAGCGGGAAGATATGCACCGAAGCGGGAGATATGGCGGGAGATATGGAGGTTCTGGATATGGAAACCTCAAAATCAGAATATGGGATATATCTTACCAACTTATCTCCCTAAAACTCTACTTGGCATAGGATAAATACTCATATATATATAATATGCCTCTACTAAGTTGACATTACACATTTCACTTAGATAGCCTATACTATAGGCAGAGGGTAGTTTATAACTAGAGTCTGTGAGCAGGGTAGGAATCTTACAGGCATACATTCAGCATAAGTGGCAAGATAACATAGAATGCTAAGTTGATTGAATAATAAATGTATTTTTCAGAACTGTCTCAAGGCATTTATATTTACAATTGTGTAGGCTAAGTAAGTTATCCCGTTATCAAGTTTGAGGAACCTTATGCTCAAAATATATGTGATCTTGTAAATTTCAGATTTTGCTTTAAATTAAGACAAAAAGAACAAGTCATTTACTTTATCTTCTTCATAGGTACAGATTTATTCTCTAATAAAATTTATAAAAAGAGGTATTAAGGAAAGTCCTATCATCACCCGTGTTGTCCTAACTGTCTAATGTTTCAGCTGTCTTTAGTTGTGTTTAAAAAGAAATTTACAGAAAATACTCAAAATCATACAGCAAAATTATACTCAATATTATACAAATACCAAATACACAAAATTTTTCTTAGGTCTATTAAATTATTGCCACTCTCAAGGAAATATGTTGACACTAGGATGGGGCTTAAGAGATTAATTGCTTTCTTAGGTCTATTAAATTATTGCCACTCTCAAGGAAATATGTTGACACTAGGATGGGGCTTAAGAGATTAATTGCTTTCTTAGGTCTATTAAATTATTGCCACTCTCAAGGAAATATGTTGACACTAGGATGGGGCTTAAGAGATTAATTGCTTTCTTAGGTCTATTAAATTATTGCCACTCTCAAGGAAATATGTTGACACTAGGATGGGGCTGAAGAGATTAATTGCTTTTCAGGTCTACTAAATTACTTCCACTATCAAGGAAACATGTTTACACTGGGATGGGGCTGAAGAGATTAATTGCTTTTCAGGTCTACTAAATTACTTCCACTATCAAGGAAACATGTTTACACTCTGATTAACTGTTTTTTCAGGTTTACAGGTACTCACTTACTGCCTCTTTTTCAGGTCAACGAAATTACTTTCACTATTAAGGAAACATGTTGCCACTTTCAAAAGACTTAAGAGATAAACTGTTTTTTAGGTCTATTAAATTACTTCCACTATCAAGGAAACAATTTGACACTTGGATGGGGCTAAATAGATTAATTGCTTTTCAGGTCTACTAAATACTTCCACTATCAAGGAAACACGTTGACACTGGGATGGGGCTAAATAGATTAATTGCTTTTCAGGTCTACTAAATTACTCCCACTATCAAGGAAATATGTTGACACTGGGATGGGGCTTAAGAGATTAATTGCTTTTCAGGTCAACTAAATTACTCCCACTATCAAGGAAATATGTTGACACTGGGATGGGGCTAAAGAGATTAATTGCTTTTCAGGTCAACTAAATTACTTCCACTATCAAGGAAATATGTTGACACTGGGATGGGGCTAAAGAGATTAATTGCTTTTCAGGTCAACTAAATTACTTCCACTATCAAGGAAATATGTTGACACTGGGATGGGGCTTAAGAGATTAATTGCTTTTCAGGTCAACTAAATTACTTCCACTATCAAGGAAACATGTTGACACTGGGATGGGGCTTGAGCGATTAACTGCTGTACTACAGGGGAAGACATCCAATTACGACACTGATTTATTTACACCAATATTTAAGGCCATTGAAAAGGTGAGCATGAATTTTTGGATAATGTCCTTACAAATTTGATATTCTTAGCGGTATGTTCCTTGGTAATCCATTTTCAGGATTTTTATTTTATTTTGGCACTGACATTTTATCAAAATAAATCCACTATATATACAACTAATGTGTAAAATTCATTTTACTGAAGGTCCTAGCCTTTTTTCATAAATCAATTTTAAGTACAAGTTAATCCTTTGAATTTCAAAGATGAAAATTGTGGAAAAATATATGACCGTCACCATTGTTTTCTCACTTACTTTGTAGCATACAGGTGCCGAAGCTTATCAGGGCAAAGTAGGGGCTGAGGATATAGCTGAGGTTGACACTGCATATCGTATCTTGGCTGATCATGCCAGAATGTACACAGCAGTCATGTTAGAAGATGTACACCCAGGGGCCCGCGGGACAGGCCATAAATTACGTCATGTCATGACAAGGGCTCTTTATTACGCTATGGTCTCCCTTGATGCGCCACCTGGTGTACTGAAAAGTTGTGTGCCATCTGCCACAGAATCTTTGGTATTTGTTATTTTTATACCTCATTTGAAGAGTTGCTCAGGTGTCAATCAGATAACCCTTAATTTCCCATGACCCATAGATGACCCTTGACCCATAGATGACCCATGACCCATAGATGACTGGAACCCATAATGATGACTCATAGAGGCATAGATGACCCATAGATGACCTGCCCAGGCCCATACATGACTCATGACCCATATATGATCTATAACCCATAAATGACCCATGACCCAGAGATGACCTACAACCCATAGATGACCAATAGAGACATAGATGAACCTTGTATGACACATGACCTGAAGATAACCCATGACCCATAGATGACCTATGATCCATGACTCAAACATCAAATTTATTTCATGAATCTTACATTTCATCCAAAAAATATCTGATTATTAATCAAGGAAATGTAATTTAACTTCTCTCGTTTGATTTGATTTCAAAGCAATGTTTCTGTATAACTTGAACTTTTGAATCACTGGTGATCCACTCGATTACGCTTGTTACCAAAACAGTTCGTTTTGGTAACAAAATGTCGGAACATCCGGAAGGTACGATTTTTCTCGTTTCCTTATTTTACACGTTGTAGGCAGAATTCCCACGACATTTTTAACACAAACGTGTATCAGTACCATATGTTTAAGAAATTGTACATATTTGCGAACAAATAGTTCAGAAGACAACAGAATCGTCGATTTTCTTTCCTCACTTAAGTTACATAAACGGTTTGGGTTAAAAGTGCAGATCTTAACTGTTTTTCGAAAAACCGTTTATGTAACTTAAGTGAGGAAGTAAATCGACGATTCTGTTGTCCTCTGATCTATTTTTTCGCAAACATGTACATTTTCTAAAACATATGATACTGATGCACATTGTGAGAAAAAACGTCGTGGGAGTTCTGCCTACAACGCGTGAAATAAGGAAAAAAGAAAAATCGTGCCTTCGACGGTCTGACATTTTGTTACCAAAACGGTTTGTTTTGGTAACCAGCGTAATCGAGTGGATCACCAGTGTGAATATTAGTCTGTAGTTTACATCTATTTACATAGTTTATAAAAAGCATCTTCATTACTCATGATTTTTTGTAATTTTTTCTTTTCTTTTCAGGGGCTGAATCTCAGAAAGACGGTAAGTAAAAATGGTATGATGTGATAATATATGACATGATAAGATATACATCAAATCATTTTTAGAAATCAGCATTTGACACTCAACAAAAGTCAGGTCAGTAGAAGAATTTGTTGAGTGTGTTTAAAACCATTTGGTCAAAATTTTGAGGGAGATTTTAAGGAAACATCATCCATGAATTCCACTGACATTGATTTGACAGTTACAATCACATGGAGATTTTAGAAGAAATGTCTTTGTATTCTTAATTTTTTCATTTTTATGTCACCATTTCATATTGTTATAGTCTTCAACTTTTTTGTGAACATTGTTTGGCGGTCAGTTTTCGGGGATTGGTGTCTGCTACAAATGCTAGGTGGTGATATTTTGCATGTTAATGTCTTGTTTGCAAGGTGCGATCAATTTGCAAGTGTTTCGTGATTTCAATTATGGTCAAAGTCTGTCTGTCCATCCATCCGTTCGTCCGTCCGTCCATCCGTCTGTCAACAATTGACCAGTTTTAAAACCTGTCAATAGGATTCCTGTTTTAAGTTATTTTTATTCAACATTAATTTAGAAAAACCCTTATGACACTTGGTTCAAAAGCTAGTCTATTTTCAAAAAGGCCGTCATTTTTGTCCCTTGAAATTCACTTTTGGACCATTTGGTTTAAAACTTCTGTCGATAGGATTCCCATTTTAAAATATTTTGTTCAACATCAATACAGAAAACTCCCATATGACTCCTGGTTCAGAAGCTCACCAATTTTCAAAGTCCCCATTTTTGTCTTGCGAAATTCACTTTTGGCCCATTTCCTAGCTTTACAAATAATTTCAGCTGTCCTGCATTGTAAAAAGCCATGTCACTGTAAAGAGTAGCTGTATGAAATAATTTTGTGACAAAAAATCAGCAAAAAATTATAACTGTTTTTTTTAAAATTTACAGCCATTTTAGTCCATCTGTCTCGCGAAATCCACTTTTGGACCATTTGCCTTAAAACCCCTGTCCATAGGATTCCTGATTTAAGTTATTTTTGTTCAACACCAGAGAGATTTCGCACATAAGTTAAAGTACAACTTATACGTATTACTCAAATCAATTTTAAATTGTACTTAATGGAACATAACTATTTCCGTTATAGAAAAGTTCCATCAACTAGAGACTGTGAATGCACTGTCATCTGCACGTGTAGATTATGCAAATTATAATAAAATGCTTGCTTCCGTGTCCTTGTTGTTGTAGTGTATTATAAACACGATCCTTTAAAGTGAGTCATGATTCTTTAAAGTGAGTCATTCATAAACAAGTTGATTATTTCAATGTTTTCATGATCAGTATAAGTTCAGTGAACTTACAAAACGGTATATTTACGTAGATGATAACGTATACAGTTGGATCTCCGTATAAAGATTTGCCTACATGTGTGTGGAACAATTGACCGCAAGCATCTTTTGAAATTAATTGGCTGAGTGGGAACAGTATCCAATCAAATACTTTAACCATCAATTTGAAACACCAATCAAACCAGTAGGTTCTAGCAATTCCTGGAAACGACCCATTCAGTAGCTCAACATATGACATTCAGGGTGTTTCATAACGAGCATCTCCAAAAGTCAATTTGAGAAGAGATGGTTCTATAACATATGTACTATATATGAGCCTATTTTATTCTAGACAAACACATTTGGATCAACTAAACATGCTACAATTCAGGAAAGTACAAATGGCATCCCTTTGACCTGTATTTATTACAGTCCAAGAAGATCTTTCCTGACGAAAAGCCCACATTATGAAACACCTTGTACGTTTACCTATAAGTATAAGTTTACGTTATAAGTTGTACTTTCACTAGGTGCGAAATCTCTCTACCAATACAAAAAACTCCCCTATGACTCCTGGTTCTAAAGCTCACCTTTTTTAAAATGGTCGCAATTTTTGTCTCGTGAAATTAATTTTTGGCCCGTTTCCTAGCTTTATAAATAATTTCAGGTGCCTGCATTGTAAAAACCCATGTCACTGTAAAGAGTAGTTGTATGAAACAATTTTGTTACAAAAAAATCGGCAAAGAATTATATCCTGTTTTTTTCTGCCATTTTAGCCATCATTCACTTTTGAGCAACACCATGAGAGCCCAGTACCCACGGTACTATTTATTACAGAATGTTTTCAATATTTGGTCCAAGAGAAAAACATAGTTTAATTCAGTTCACCAAATTGATACCTATCCTTTACGTAAGCATGACATACATAATTACAACTTGAAAACAAGTGGAATAATACATGTAGAGGGACCTGGTAAGAGACCTTGGACTTAAGCAAGGAAATAATGCTCTTAAATAGATTGTTGACGTATAACTCAGTGCCACAAGGCTACAAGTGAGATGCAATTTCATTAAGCAAAGCAAAAGGGGATCATATTTACCTTTTCAATAGTTTCTTATTTTAATCAAAGTCGTGTGTTGGAAAGGAAGAGTTTCTTGCTCTTACAAACTGAACAAAATAATCATTTATTTAGCAATGGCTGCGTATGCCGAGAGTAACATTTATTGATGTCTATGTGAGTACAATGAAATTTGGTTACATCGTGGTTAGCTATTTGGTCCCGGAGACCGTGTTAACGTCTGAAACTGCCTCTGACTCAACTTCGGCCTACCAACCTGAAAAAACCCTTTATAGGGAAACATGCAGGTGGTTCACCCGCCTGAATGAAGCAGAGTCACTCTGTAAAACAGAGCGTGGGATTTAGTACTTGGCAGAAAGACGTGACAACCCGGAGTGTCAACTTTCACTCCCGTTAAACTACTTATAAAACCTGAATAATGTTCATTGGTGCAGCCCCAGAAGGCTTCGTATGATACAGCCCCAGAAGGCTCAGCCCCAGAAGGTTTCGTCTGATACAGCCCCAGAAGGCTTAGCCCCAGAAGGCTTACTCCGATACAACCCAAGAGGGCTCAGCCCCAGAAGGCTTTATAATACAGTTCAAGCAGGCTCGGCCCCAGAAGGCTTCCTAGTACAGTCCAATAAGGCTCAATCCCAGAAGATCTCGTGTAATACAGGCTCAGAATGCGTTCTTTAACACGGCCCCAGTAGACTTTGTCTATAACCCATAAGGCTTTACTGTCCAGAATGGTTTGTTCTGCCCCTGAAGGCCATGTTCTCTGAAAATAAACTATAAACATGTTATTTTATGATATAAGAGCCATTTCTTATATTCTATTTTAAAATGTATAACATCTTTATTAATTTTTGTACAATTTATGTGGGTGAAATTTAGGTGTTACTCGTGTAGGCAAAAAGCCGAGAATGACTACCTTAGTTTCATACTACCCTTTGTTCAAAATACTACTTTTCTATTGGCTACTACTCTACACTCAGAATCAAACCTCGTTCTATTTCAGCAACTGCTAACAAAATGATCAGAAAATTATTTTCAATCTCATTCATACTTCAAAACGATAGAAAATATAATTTCTTATCATTCCCCGCACTTGCTCTTACAAACTGAACAAAAAAATCATTTATTTAGCAATCACGGGGTACCATCGAATAATTTTGGCAACGTACCGGAGAACGACATTTTACTAAGAAATGGCAATAATTTAGCACAATATATTTTTTAACTAGAGTTCTACTTTGATTTTGACAAAAGTAAGTATTCCATGCAATGGCTATTTCATTCATGAGTTTGTAGGAATTTGAGTTGGAACCCAGTTCTGATCAAGTACGAAGTTATTGAAATCGGCGCAGTCGGACTTTACTCCGAAAGATGGTTTTTCGATTATAACTTTTTACAACATTTAAAGGGATCCAACACCTTACAAAACTTCTTAACTGAGAGGAATAAGGGAAAATGCTTGTCGGATTCTGAATCTGAGTATTTTTTAATGATTTTTCACCGTCTTAGAATTTCAATTTTTTCCCTTTGAAAAAATGAGATTTGCATTGTTTTCCAATTAGAAAAATGAGTAAACATGAATAGCTCGAAATCTAACGGTGAGATTTTGTTTTAAAAAATCATGGATATCAAGGCTAAATATAGCTATACAGTGAACATAAAAAAGCAATGCTTGGACTCTTCATATTCAGACAAAAAATTAATTAGTAAATGAGGTTTGATATTTGTGAGAATAAGTTGTACGAGGTGCAATGCTCTACAAACACCAGACTACAGGGTGGATTAGGATCAATGACACACATAAAAATTAATTAAAAAATATTTCATGATAATTATCACAAACAAAAGCAGTTAGCGAATGATACGTTTCATTACACTCAATAATAGTTATCACTTTTGACTATATATACATATCTCATGGGAATGTATTTCCATCTGCTCAAGATATCATATTTTAGCTTCGAAAATCACAATCGTTGGATAATACATTTGTCTCAGAATGATAGGCCACCCTGTAGCAATGTAGCTTTCACTTGAAGTGTACCCTTGAGAATAATGAACTTCCTTTCAAATTGGTCTTGCTTTTGTGGTGTATGTGGCTTTTTAGCAAATCTGCCACACTCATTTCTTTCCAGAACCATCTTGTTCAAATGTATCACGATATTATACGCGCATGTATAGAATGCATTGTCATAGATATACATATAAATTATATATTGCACCTGTATTTACTTACATGGGAATATAAGTGAGTATATTCCCTTATGGAAAAATGCAAATGCATGAACATATATTTTCATCTTATATATGACTTCAAGCTAACATATTATTTCATATTTTTATTTTCATAGTTAGTTTAACATGAATAATAGATCCATGAGAACAATATTCTTTGTTTTTTTTAAATTGATGGGTTTACTGTGAATTCAATAAATTACAATTTGCAAGGGGTAAGTATACTGTATGAGCTAGCTAGTGGCTTTGTATTTTGTGTTAGGCCAGGGTAATTAAATACGTTGTTTCTCTTTTTTCTAATTTTCAAAATTGATACGGGAATGACGGTTTTTATATTACCTTTTTGTCTATCTAAAATGCTGATGAGGGACGGGATGATTTTTTTCTTTAA